TTGAGACAGGGTCTTGTTCTGTCACCCATGCTGGAGTACAGTGGCACAATTATAGCTCACTGTAGCCTCAACCTCTTGGGCTCAAGTGATCCTCCCACCTTAGCCTCCAGAGTAGCTGGGTCTACAGGTGTGAGCTACCATGCCCAGCTAATTTTTAAATTTTTGTAGAGATGAAGTCTTGCTATGTTGCCCAGGCTGGTCTTGAACTCTTGAATTCAAGCAATCTTTTTGTCTTGGCCTTCTAATGTGCTGGGATTACAGGCATGCACCACTGCACCTGGCCCTTTGTTGAATTTCTAATAAACTTCTTAGAAGAGGCCAAACAGTTTGATTCTTAAAGTCAAGTACAAATTTCTATTAAGGAAGTGCTTATTTTCATTTAAATAAGTCATAAAATACACCAAGAATAAAGTTTGTGTCTAGCTAGAAAAACTAGCAGAAGTTTCTTAGAACATTGTGTGATCACATTTATACTGTTATCACCACTGCCAAAAATGAAAATTGCAAACTAGATCACTGCCAGTTTACAATCAGGAAGCACTCAAAAGTTGACATAATTCATAATAAAAGATTTTGGTCTGGCTGGGCACAGTGGCTCACGCCTGTAATCCCAGCACTTTGGGGGGCCGAGGCAGGTGGATCACCTGAGGTCTGGAGTTCAAGACCAGCCTGGCCAACATAATGAAACTCCATCTCTACTAAAAATACAAAAAAATTAGCTAGGTGTGGTGCCAGGCACTTGTAATCCCAGCTACCCGGGAGGCTGAGGCATGAGAATCACTTGCGCCCAGGGGGCAGAAGTTGCAGTGAGCCAAGATCACGCCATTGCACTCCAGCCTGGGCAACAAGAGTAAAAGAGGGTCTCAAAAAAATAATATATTTTTTTCTTTATATAGTCTGCCGATCTAAAGTCTATCTACAGTCTAGATAGATCAGCACTGTCCAATAGAAATATAATCCAAGTTGCAAATGTAATTTAAATGTAATTTAAAGTTTTCTATTAGCCACATTAAAAAGCAAAAAGAAACAGATGACATTGATACATTATTTTATTTATCCTAACATATCCAATCTGTTATCATTTCAACATGTAAGCAATACAAAACAATTATTAATATTTTACTTTTTTTGGTACTAAGTCATTGGAATCTGGTGTGTATTTTACATTCACAGCACATCTCAATTCAGACTAGCCACATTTCAAGCAGTCAATAGCAAATGTGGCTAGAGGCTATCAAGTTGGATAGCATAGATCTAGACCAGTTCTCTCAAGTCTCAAGCTCCCAGACAAAACCAGTGTAGGATTTTGAGCAAATAACTGGAACATAAAGATAGTCCTAATTAATTTGTGAGATAAACGTAGGCTATCTTAGAACCTAAGTTTAAAGAAATATTTTCTTTGTGACCACTGTGTTAAAAGAGAGACATTAATTTTACAAAACAAGAAATATTACTTTGAACATTCCTTCTGGAAGAAAAAATTATTTTAATAGTTTTGGGACATAAATGCAGAACAGAAAATAAGAAGATGCACCCCTTTCAAACAATATATACAGATAAAGCAAATGATTCAGATAAAGAATAATCCTATTGTGGAAGGGGAGAAAAAGTATATATAAATTAGTACAGGCACAGAGAAAGTTCAGAAAGATATGACTCACTGTTAAAGTACTGATAGGATTAGTGGTGAAGTACATTTATCTATGTGTGTTACTGACTGCTGTAGCAGAACTAGAGCTGGTCCAGGGAAAGGCAATTAAGAATTCTCATGAGGGTAGGTGAAAGCCAGGAGGACAATTAACAAGTACGTTACATGCTAAGAAGTCTAGAAAATGATGGTAAAAGATAAGATTCATTGTGGACTTACACAAAAAATGAGCAGTCTTTCCCTGAAACTTGAGGGTGAAGTACAAATATAAAGAAGTACCACTTGACAAATTAGTAGAAAATGACTGAATTTCATTGCCCCATAGGTTACAGACTAAAGATTTAAATACTTATTTTCTAGGTGCTACATTTCATGTCTTCAAAGGAGTGTAGATTACACACATGAATGTATTTGTTAAAATTTTACACCTTCCTGCAGTAAAACAAAGCCTAAAGCAGAGTAAAAAAAAAAGAAAAAAGAAAAAAAAATTTTACACTTAAGATTTGTGCATCTCAAAGTATGTAAATTTTACCCAAAAATTAAACAAAAAGTAACAATAATATGCAGGAATGGGTGTAGTGGAAGGTACAGATGAAATGAGAATGGCAGAATGATGACAGCTGTTGACGCGGACTGAGGGGTTCATCTGTTTACTTTGTGTATGTTGAAATTTTCCACAAAAAAAAGGTTGGAAACAGGTTTAAAGTCCAAATTCACTCCTAGATGATATATCCATGGGCTAATTAAGGAAAATAAGGAAATCTGAAGGCCTCTTTCTCCCTATTCTCTGATGTTTCAGGCCTAAAGAACACTCAGAGTAGATAACATACAAAATATACCTTTGTGGTAAAGCTAAAAGCTTTTAGCGTCTGTGAACTGTGTTTCTTTCAGCCATTATGGGATAGTGAAAAAAATCAACACCAAAATATCTGTACTCATCAGCATGTTCACAGACTTCTTTATAAATGTTTCTCCAAAATAAGGCTTAATATACACTATTTTTCTTTTTCTTTCTTTTTTTTTTTTTGAGATGGGTTCTCACTGTTGCTTAGGCTGGAGTACAGTGGCATGATTTCGGCTCACTGCAATCTCCACCTCCTGGCTTCAAGTAATCCTCCTGCCTCAGCCTCCTAAGTAGCGGGGACTACAGGCACATGCCACCATGCTCAGTTAATTTTTGTATTTTTTGTAGAGACAGGCTTCCATCACATCACCCAAACTGGTTTCGAACTCCTGGACTCAAGTGATCCGCCTGCCTTGGCCTCCCAAAATGCTGGAATTACAGGTGTGGACAACTGAGCCTGGCCTATTTTTCAATACATATCATTTTATTTCACATTTAAAACATTCGTTCATGAAGTTATTAGGCTTTGCCTTTTCCCCCCTTTTTAAGCATTTGAAAATCAATCTCTAGAAACTTTAGTTTTCAAATGGAATACTGAGGTATAAAACCCTGAAGTCTGAAGAACACGTGGTTTTAAAAGTGTAAGCCTTCATTCTTAAAGGCACTTAATAAAGGATATTCAACACTTCTCTTTATCTTATCTCTCAATCCCACAGTCAGGAATTTTTCACATTTAACCCACCACTAAGTTATCAAGTCACTCTACTCATTTTTCTAGTTTCTTCATTTATAAAAATAAGGTGGTTGAATTAAAGGAACTCTAAAGTAGTGATAATCAATGTAGCGGGTACAAAATATGAGATGTGGAAGAAAATATTTCATAATTCATATATTTTCTTATCCCTATAAATATTAAATTTTTCTGAATGTTATTTAATATATGTAATATTTGTTGGGCAGTACATTTATATAAATATGTATTGGAGACTGGTCAATTAACTGCCTGGAGTCTGCAGTTCTAGAGCAAGAGCTTTGAGACTTTTTGACTTTCATAAACTTTTCAAGTACCTTTCATTAACTGCCAAAATTGGGCACTGTTTACGGGATTCTGCTACTTTGCTACCAAATATGCACAGCTGGTTTGCACAAACATGTAAGTTTTTCTTCTTTCATTACGGCTCAACAAAAGGTCATACCTTATTAAAAACATCCTTGCTAATGGCATCCATGCTCCACAGACACATCTTCTCTCTTTGTACCAAAGCCTCTTCTTTCTGTCGCCACTCTTCTTCCCGTTGCCTCAGTTCTGATACTGCTGTTTGTGCTTTGGCATGCTCCTGATCCAAGGACTCAGAATTATGCAGTGCTAAGCTACCAAGTTTCTGTTGAGCTTCAGCGAGATTCCACTTGCACGCTACAGAGCTCTTCACAAACTCTTTCTGCTTTTGGCAAGCCAATTCAATTCCATGGCTATACATCTGGATAAATACAATATTTGTAAGAAATGAAGAAAGCAATGGATGTTTATGCAGCACACTTCAATTTCTTTTTAATTCAAAGGATTTCTGTATAATAATTTGGTACATAGTATATCCTGTGTTCTAGATCTGCAGTCATGTTTTTATATCTTAGTCCTTATTTCATCAACTAGATTCTAAACTTCTTTGTTAATTTATGTCCATCCCCTGACAACAGCAACAAAAAGCCTGGCAACTATCACAGTGTCATGCATAAAGCTAGTGCTTAACATTTAATTAATAGTCTTCATAATCCTCAACAAACAGAATAATCAGAATGAAGTTTAAATCTAGTTCACCACCTCAATACTCAACATGCTGACAAACAGACCTTTACAATTTTGTTCTGCAAATTCGTCACTCCAAAAAACCTCCTTTCATCTAGAAGTAACTGTTTCTTGGTTTCTATTTTCTATCTGTATAGTTCCAATCCTTGGTGATTTGAGAAATTCTTACTGGAAATTTCTATTTATAATTGATTATATCAGATAGATATCCTTTAACTTATTCCTAATCAAAATAGGCAAAGTTAAATTTCTTTGAAGTGCTAATGGTCTATCATGCTGACTGTACTACTCAGAAGCAGTAGTAATTAGTTTTAATATTTACTTAATTACTACATGTAAAGTACTGTTATACACATTCAATTCCCTATATTCCTTGGCTCTTTAAAACAAAAGCTGAAGGTACATTCTTCATGACTTCTTGGTCAAGTGTAGATCAACTTCAAACTACTTATTCAGAATAATTTCTCTCCAATCTGTTCCCATATCTGGATTACTCTTCAAGCCCTGATTTTGGGAGACCGAGGCAAGTAGATCACCTGAGGTCAGGAGTTCAAAACCAGCCTGGCCAACATGGCAAAACCCCGTCTCTAATAAAAATACAAAAAATATTAGCCAGGTGCTGTGTGGGCGCCTGTAATCCCAGCTACTCCGGAGGCTAAGGCAGGGGAATCACTTGAGCCTGGGAGACAGGCTGCGGTGAGCCAAGATTGTGCCACTGCACTCTAGTCTGGGTGACAGAGTCAGACTCTGTCTTAGGAAAAAAAAAAAAATTAGAAAAAGAAGGAAAGATGACAATATTCTAAGAAAAGTAATATGGATACATAGAAATATCTTGAATTTTCAAATCATTTGGGAGCAAATATTCTTTTTTCAACTCAAACAATTCTAAAAATAATTTATGTCTAAATTCTCCACAAACTACCCAGACAACATTTGGCCATTCGGGCAAACTATCCAACATGTGATTAAATAAAATATTAGTTTTATTAAGTTTTAGAGGGACATTAAACATGGTCTTTCTTTACATTAATTGGATCTCAGAACTACATATCACATACTACATTAAGGAGTCTAGATCCCCCCATTTGACAAAATTAAGCCAAAGCTGTTTTTTAAATATTATACAATGTTAATCAATTAAACATTTTATTTTTTCCAAATATTCCAATCTAAAAATTTAAGTCTTAAAGCCAGCAAGACCAATAGGTAGATCTGTAATAAACACATGAACTTAGAATTAATAATCACTTTGCAAATCTTTTTTTGAGATGGAGTTTTGCTCTTGCTGCCCAGGCCGGAGTGCAGTGGGGTGATCTTTGCTCACTGCAACCTCTGCCTCCTGGGTTCAAGTGATTCTCCTGCCTTAGCCTCCAGAGTAGCTGGGATTACAGGCACGCTCCACCACATCGGGATAATTTTGTATTTTTAGTAGAAACGGGGTTTCTCCATCTTGGTCAGGCTGGTCTCTAACTCCCAACCTCAGGTGATCCACCTGCCTTGGCCTCCCAAAGTTCTGGGATTACAGGCGTGAGCCACCATGCCTGGTCCACTTTGCAAATTTTAGTACCATTTAAAGGTGGTTTCAGACAAAGTTTTACAGTACTTCACAGGGTAGGTAGTGCAGTAGGTGGGAAAATACACCGGACTAGGAGTGGTAAGTGGGTTCTAGTTTTAACTTGGGCACTAACTAGTTATACGGCCTCTGGGAAATCACTTTTAATGAGACAGACAAGCTTACTCACTTCTAAAATCTCTTCCAGCTAAACGAATTTATAAGTGCACAAGTAAGAAACTTACAGATATTTCTCTAGATTACTTCTGTGATTCAACCACAATGCACTGAAATTCTTGACACCTTTTTTTCTCTTCATATGCCTTCAAAATTGACAATGGTACTTGCTGTTCACTCTTTCTTCCCCTTCTCTCCCTAACACATCGTGTGCTTATAATACATTTTGATATAAAGATGACACTAGTGATCCAAAATTAGAGGGTGACTAACGATAGACCCATCAACTCTCATTCTGTCCTCCTAAAAAAATGTCTTGTAGTTCCTCAGTGACTAGCTGGCCACAGTACAGACTGTGGTTATGAAACAGCATTTTTCTCTGTGTGAAGCCAACTAACTCCGTTAGCTGGGCATAAGATCGATAATCTCACGCTTACTGGCAAACAGTTTAACTCATCCTCACTTAACATCTAACAAAATAAGTTGAGAGGAAAACTATTCTTAAATCTGTTACACTCTTGGGAACCCCATTTTGCAAGAAGGGGGCAGAACACATAGTAGTGTTTAGTCTGTGATCCTCAAATATACATCCAAAACACACATGGATTTGGAGAAAAAAACAGGACAAGGTGATATGAGTATGTATCTCCTAAGATAGGTCCCTGAAAAAAGGCTTAATAGTATATATCACATTTGGATACGTTTCAAACGCAGGAAGGCAAGAAAGCTGGATTGAAAACACAAGTAAGTATCAGGAACCTAAGAGAAGTCTGAAGGAAAAGGCAAGTATTTGCATATGTATTTTCACTGGAGAATGATGTGAAGCAAAACTGAAAAAACAAAATAGTAAGGCAAAAACAGGCGAATGGGAGAGGTGTACGCCAGCGTCAAAAGCAAAGTTTAAAGAATTTAATCAGTTGTCGATATGGGTGAAATAGGATGTGAAATCTTTGTCAAGACTCAGTGTGATGTTGAACTGCAATCATTCACTGTGCCTATCAACTGTGCACAAGTATGCTAAAGCCTTTAACAGAATAAAGTGCTCGGGGAAAATCTCTCACAAGAGGACAAAGGGTCAATGCTACCGCACGGGCCACCCCCAATCTAGGTGCTGACAGGAAGGGGAGATGGAGGAACGTCTTCCAAGCGTGAGAAACGATCAGCCAAGGTGAAAAAAAAGGTGTGCGTAGAGGTGGAGGTTGGTAATATACGGCCACTCCGTTCCCCCTCCGAAGATGCTATAAAAGGGGTGGGATGGCATCAGGCATCAGGTCCCCGGCACCCGGCCCCCAGCAGTGAGGTGGGCGCAAAAAAGACGTACGAGAGGGTCTGGGAGACGCGGGATTCCAGGGGTTTGGCGAAAGCACCACTCCATCCCTCCGCAGAACGCGGCCCCCTCTCACCTGGGCGCTGCCGCCCGGCAGCTGCGGGCAGCGGGGAGAACTGGGGGACACATCCAAGTCACTCTCTTCCTCAGCCTCACCCTCGGCCCGAGGGAGGCTCCAGGGTCCCGGAGGCGGCCACGGTTGCTCCATGTCCGGCTGCCCCGGGTCCTACAACCGCCCCCGGCCCTACAACTGCCACTGCCAACTGACTTGGCGTGAGTGGAACCTGCTGCGCCGAGCCAGAAGCCCTAGCCGGCCGGGGCCGTTACCCAGAATCCCTCTACTGGCCGCGACGCCAATGCACACCCCGCGATAGCCTGGGCCTCGCCACCGGCGGACAGCGGAAGAAATAGTCGGCATGGTGCGTCACTTCCTGTTGGGGCGGCTCTGTGGAGGCGCGTTCCTGGACCTGCCTGTAGGGGCTGGATCTGCAATTATATTCCTGTTTTAAGCACCGTTCTTTGGAGTATTTCGGCACTGGAGCTTTAACAGCTGATGGCGCTGTGGGTGGAGAAACGTTTGTTCGGTAGTGTTAGATATTGCTATGTGCTGTTCCCTACGCCAAAAACGGCGGGTCCTGGCTGCCGGGAGGTCCTCAGACCGGGTGTCCACTTTGCATGTTGCTTCAAAATTGCTACTCATTCCTTTACATTGACATTGAAACCAGTGATTCTAAGGCAGAGCTGGGGTGGGAGGAGGAAAATTTTGAGTAAGCGGAGCCGATTTTCCTCTCATTTCTAATTACAAGCAAAAACAGAATTCTGAGAAACTTGGTTGGTTGGAGGAGTACACCAAAAATAAAGTACCGGAGCGAGCACGGGTTCAAAAAATTAGTATCAGTACCGCTAATAGCGAATGTATAAGGAGGGCTTCCTGTATTCCTACGTATCTTGTTTAAGCCTAAAGATATGTGCTCTCTCTATCCCCTTTTTTTGAGACGAGGAAATAGACCCGACATGCCCGAGATCATGCATTTTACGAGGAAGAGGTAGGATCCAGCCCAGGGAGTTTAACTTAACTTGCACGTTTAACAATCAGGTCTTGCTGCCCTACTCATAGAGACCCAAATAAAAACAACACGACGACATTTTTTTCCCATGTATTTAGATTGGCAAATTTGTGAAGTCGCTTAATACCAAATGTATACCAAGACGTAGGGAAATGATGTAAGAATGTCATTCGTGTAACCTTTTGGGAGTAGTGATTTGACAATGTGAAAGGCTTGAGCAGATTGATTCAGCAATTTCACCAAAAAAGTATGCAACAGTTATTTTTGCACCAATATCCAAAGATTTATCTACAAAGATTTTTGGCAGCAATTGTGTGTGTGTGGGGGGGTGGGGAGTAAGTAAGAAAAGCATTCTAGTTGTCCATCAATAGAGAAACTTAAATTATAGAATCTTAATACAATGGGAAATTATCTGTTTTTTAAAAAGTAAATTGTAGCAAAATATGCTGATACAGAAATACCTCCTAAAGGTATTGAATTTTTAAAAAGCAACTTGCTGAATTAAACATATGTGTGTACGTATACAGAGAGAGGGGAAGAGAGATTGTATTTGTTTGTGTGCAGAGAGAGTGTGAGAGTGTGTGTGTGTGTGTGTGTGTGTCTAGAACATTCCTGGTGGGTATACAGGAAACTTAATGAATGATTACCTCTGGTAGGTGAGCCTGGGAAGGAAAGCTTCTGAGGATCTTTCCTTTCCACATTTAGCTTCTCTGTATTGTGCTGTTTGAATATTTTTCCAATTAAAGTGTACTATAATAATAATTATAACAGTACCAGATTACCATAAAATTAATTAATTACAAATAAAAGCTCAGAATCACTTTCGCACCTAACCCTTTTGAATTTAGGGATGAAAGTCACAGGAGAGACTGGAAAGGGAGGAAAAAAAGAAAAGGAAAACATTTTTATTTTTGCTTCCATGAAGCCATAAAGTGCTTTGAATAGTGCCAGCGTAAAGTAAGCCCTATAGAAACGCTGATGCCGTTGTTTTTTCTCATACCTCTTTCACTACTTCTCCTTAGTCTTCTTCCCTTCTAGCTGATCTCTAATTTTAGAGTTCCTCATATTTTGGCCAGTGGGGAGAATCCTGTCTATTCCTGCAGCTTTAAATAACATCTGTGTATCTATAATTCCCAATTTGAAATCCAAGTCCTGACCTTACCCCCTGTGCTCCAGACTCATGTCTACCTGCTTATTTGACATCTCTTTTTGAATGGTTCATATACATCTTAAATATAATACATCCAAACCCTTGATGTCAACCCCTTCTCCAAACTCTGTCTTCTCCATGTCAATCAATGGCATCACCATCCAGTCCAAAACCTAGAGTTCAGCTTAGTTCCTCCCTCTCCTTTACCTCTCACACCAACAACAAGTCCTGCTGTTTTTACCCCCAAATACACCTTGAATCTATGTACTTCTCTCCATCTTTACTGCATCCTCCCTAGGCCAGAATACTATGATTGCTTCTAAGAACTACTGTAGTAGTCTTCCTTGCTTCTGTTCCACTCTTGCTCCTTACAGTCTCTTCATACTCTTGCCAGAGACATTTTTTTAAAATACACAAATCATACCATGTCTCACTCCTGCTGTATCCATTATATGCTTTCAATGCGAATAACTAAAGCCCCAGCTAAAAGAAACCTAAACTATAAGGACACTTATTGTCTATTTAACAAAAAGAATTATCCCAGGATAGGCTTAGCAGTTCGAAGATCTCATTAAAGATTCAGGTTCAGGCCAGGTGTGGTGGCTTACATCTGTAATCCCAGCATTTTGTGAGGCTAAGGCAGGTGGATCACTTGAGGCTAGGAGTTCAAGACTAGCCTGGCCAACAAGGCAAAGCACCGTCTCTACTAAAAATATATAAATTAGCCAGGTGTAGTGTTGTGTGCCTGTAATCCTGGGAGGTGGAGGTTGCAGTGAGCCGAGATCTCACCATTGCACTCCATCCTGGGCAACAGAGCGAGACTGTGTCTCAAACAAACAAACAAAAAAAAGATTCAGGTTCTTTCAATTCCTATCCCTCCTCTCTATCATCCTAAATCTGTCGACTTCTCTCTTCAGCTTGTTACATCATGGTTGCAGGATGGCTGCTACAGCTGTGGACATCACATCAAAACATGGCAGAAGCTAAAGCAGGAAGAGAGAGGAGAAGGCAAAACAGCTTTATTCACTTGTGGCTCTCGTGAAGAATAAAGATATTTCTCAAAAGCTTCTAGTGAAGTCCATATATCTTACTGGCGAGAACTGGCTTAAATAAATTATGATTCATTCCCTGGAGCTGGATGCATTGCTACCTAAACAAAACTGGAGTTCTGTTAGCAAGGAGGAAGAGTTTATGGTGTAAGGTAGGCAATCACATTCTCTGCCATAACTGATAAAGTTCCTGTGCAACCGAATGGCAGCCTAACTCCTGAATGTCAGAATGTAATTTCTTTTCTTTTCTTTTTTTTTTTTTTAGATGAAGTCTCACTCTGTCTCCTAGGCTGGAGTGCAGTGGCACGATCTCAGCTCACTGCAACCTCTGCCTCCTGGTTTCAAGCAATTCTCCTACCTCAGCCTCCGGAATAGCTGGGATTACAGGTATGTGCCACCATACCCAGCTCATTTTTGTATTTTTAGTAGAGACCGGGTTTCACCCTGTTGGCCAGGCTCGTCTTGAACTCCTGACCTCAGGTGATCCGTCCACCTCAGCCTCCCAAAGTACTGGGATTACAGGCATGCGCCACCATGCCCGGCCCTGAGTGTCATTTTTTTTTTTTTTTGAGACGGAGTTTCACTCTTCTTACCCAGGCTGGAGTGCAATGGCATGATCTCGGCTCACTGCAACCTCTGCTTCCTGGGTTCAGGCAATTCTCCTGCCTTAGCCTCCCGAGTAGCTGGGACTACAAGCGTGCTCCACCAAGCCCATCTAATTTTTGTATTTTTAGTAGAGACGGGGTTTCACCATGTTGACCAGGATGGTCTCGATCTCTTGACCTCGTGATCCACCCGCCTTGGCCTCCCAAAGTGCTGGGATTATAGGCCTGAATGTCATTTCTTAAACCCTTTCCTTAACACCTTCCTTGCCCTTTCCCACCCCGATATCTCTCTTGGCCCTCTTTCAGTTCCTCAAACATACCAGTTCCTTTCCTGACTCATGGCCCTTTGGAGTTGCTGTTCCCTTTGCCTGAATATCTTTTCGCTTACTTTAAAAGGCTTGCTAGTGGTCATGCTTCTCTTCATAGATCTTAGATAAAATCTCATACCCTTATGCCAATCTGGCGAATGAGTCTAGATGAGGTTCTCATTTATTCTCTGATCTGTAACCTTCTATCTCACCACCTTATATATTTCCTTTCTACTATTCATCATACTATTATTTTATGTTCACTTAGTTATTATGTTTCTTCCCCCAGTAGAATGTAAGCTCTATGAGAGGACAGATTGTTTCTTATTCACCCTGGTACATACATGGCTCAGAATAGTACCTGGCTTACAGTAGACACTTAGTAAATGTGTGCTGAATAAATGGATAATGAATCAATGGAAACAAGAATAAAAGAAAAGGTTAAATAAAGGCAGAAGATGGTAAAAAGAGAACAGAAAGAAGTATGTTTTGGTAGGAGCTAAGGGGTGGATATAATGACATCAGAAGTGGCCTCATCTTGAGCTATTGCTGACTTCAGGGTCAGAATCCTATGCCCTGGCATAGTAAACACTTTTTTATTTTTATTTTTTTGAAACAGTTCTTGCTATGTTGCCTAGGTTGGCCTCAAACTCCTGGGCTCAAGAGATCCTCCTGCCTTGGCCTCTCACGTGGTTGGGATTACAGGCATGCACCACCAGGCCCAGCTCCAGTAGACATTTTTTAAGCAAGTCTTGGAATGTAATCATACTCTTCTACTTTCTTATTTTGGATAATAAATAAAATTCCTTAGAAATTGCTTTGGGTCATAATTTGCCTACTACTTCCATGGACATAGAGCTAGCCAGCTGAAACTCAAAGGAGCAAATTGATTTTTTTCTGAGTAGAAATTACTTTTAAATGGAAAGACTATGTAGTCCAAAATCCCCAAGGGCAGCCCTATGGAAGGGCTTGTGTGGCATCATTATGTAAGCATTGAGCCTACAAATGCCAGTAAATCAAAGTGCAAGCCAAAGAGTAACATATGAGTCTGACTCATGAACTCTAATAAAGTTTTGTGAAACAGAACCCATGTGTGAGTCCAGATCCCAAATGACTTCAAGATTGTTAAAAACTGTGCAATTGCAATTTGATTCCATCCTTGGAAGATTCCTGCAGAATTCTTGAGAAGTGTGTATATGTAAAGAAATCTCAAATTGCCAGCTCCTGTTTTGGATAT